ACCCTATGGAATCGGTGCTCCCATGATCCCATTTTACAGGTGAGGAACCTGAGATTCAGAGAGGGAGGGGACTCACAGCTGGTTAAGGAGCAGTGGTGGGGAAAGACAGCACGTTAGAGGCGCAGGCAGCCTGGTGGGTGCAGGGGGTACATAGTGAGCATTCCCCAGCTCTTGTTTCATTTTTGAAAACAGCTCTTTGCACACCGCTACCTGTAGCTCGAGCACTGAAATCAGAGGCCTTTGTTCTCATTCAGAATAAGTTAGGATTCAAGTCAGGCAAATGGCAACGAGCCACTGTCCGCCATCATTTCATCTGTTCTTTCTTTCATTAATTCATTTACTTGCACTCATCGAGAACCTGGATTGGGCCAGGCACTGGGTGAGGGGCTGGACCAAAAGAATGAACAAGGCTGAGGCTCTGATCAGGAGGTGTCCCAAACGGCTGCATCCTTGAGCATCGGGGTACCAGTGGATTGTTAGTAGGCTATATGTGGCTCACTCTCTATGGCTCCCCCCACTCTCCTGTGTTTGGTGTCTTAGGAACCTTAGGCAGGGATGGGATAAATGATCTGTCATGTGATCAGCCTAGTGGGTATGAGGGGACCTTGGCAGCATCTTAAGGGGCTGGATACTTCATTGCCTATTGTTTTACTCTGTTCACTTGTTGCATATTTGTTCAGTGAACTCCAGGGATCCCCCTTTGCCCACGCAGGCCTTGGTCTTTGCAAGACTTTCTTACATCTTGCTTTCTCTTAGTTTCAATTTAAATGTCTCTTGGGAGTGATTTTCTTTCTGTCCTCACTGCAGACCCTCAGGGACCTGTTCCAGTTGGCAAATAAGCCCTCTCTCCTCCTAAACATCCATCCTTTTCCTCCCAGATGCCCTCCTACATGTTGTTATTATGGTGAAAAATATGCAAATAACTTGGAAAAACAGTCTCCCAGCAAATGGGTATTCAAAAATGTAATAAATTAACCCCATAATGTAATCTTGGTCCCAAGACTATCCATCATGCTGATGTGCTCAAGATCTAGAAACCCAGATGCCACAGAGCCCTATGGATAAAAATGACAGATGTCTTCTTAGAGCTCCCCTGCCCCCTCTCCAGCTTCTTGGCCCCTGTGGAACCCAAGGCCATCAGATGTTTAGGGAACATCTGTCCAGCCTGTTCATTTCAAAAATGAGGAGATAGAGGCCTTTTTGGGGTTAGGGGTCAGATCAGTTTGAGTCCCTCCTCACCTGTCTCCCAGCCTGCATTCCTCTGCTTGTGGCTGACTCTGAATCCAAAGCCCCAAATGTAGGCATTTTGTCCATGGGTTTCTAGTTGACAAGGCAGGTACCCCAGTGTCAAAAGCTCTTGGGACCTTGCTGTCTGCATTTGAAAAATGTTGAGTGTTGGGTTGTATGTCTGCCAAGGTGTCTCTGAAGTTCCTTTAGCTCTGTGTGTCAGGGGACCTACAGGTGGCTTGTGCTTTGTCTTCTCAGAGCAGGGGGCTAAGGCTGGGAGCCTGGCATGAGTCCTCGTGTCACTCACATTGTACTCTGGAGGCCATCCCATGGAAGCAGCTAGACTCTTGAGTTTCCCAGCCCAGGATCCAATCCCAAGAAACCCTTTACAAGAAATTGCCCCCCTAAGACTGCCACTTCCTGTCACTAATGGACAAACTGCTTGAACAGCCTCCAGAGAGGGGCAAAGAAGGACTCTTGCTTTCTCCAGGGCCAAAGTATCCATAATGATTAAATCTCAAGGAGCCAGGGGACACTGTTTACCAGCCAGTGAGCCGCTTAACTGGCTCTGTGTGGAAACGGTTCTCTCCTTCATGGCATGATATGGGCAGTGTCCCCAAGTCTTGAGAAGGGCTGCCATGCCCAAAATGTGCCACCGAGTGCGTCAATTCCTGAAATAAACCATCTTATCCCTTTGGGTTAAATGTGGAAATGGTATGAAATGCAGACTTTCTTTGGGAACAGCCCAAACTACCGTGGCAATTCCCATGTTTTTGGGCATCAGGGTCCCTGGGGAACTTGTTAAAGGGCCCATACCCTGCTTTGCACCCAGACTGGTCCAGTAGGTCAGAGAGGCCTGGGTTCCAGGAGTTTAATGGGCTCCCCAGGGATTCTGATGCAGATTTCCAAGGACTGCTTTGAGAAATGCTTTGCTGGTATTCCTGGCTTAATGGGCCAAGTCCCTTATTCTCTTCCTATCCCCGCCCCATCAGAAGTGGGCAAGTGCAGGTTTGAAGGCATCTGGAGTGAAAACAGGTGCAGATCTCCAATAGCGACCTGTAATTGATAAACATTCCTGGCTAGATCTGGGTACCCACAGCTGGGTGTGACTCCTAACAAGCTCTTCTGTCCCTAGAGGTCAGAGTCAAGGTCCCCAGGCTTCCGGTCCTGATTTGTTGCCTGTAACTGTGCTGCAACTTCTCTGACCCTAGTTTCGCCACCTGTAAAATAAAGGGGCTGAAAATAAGTTGAAGTCCTGGAATCAGGTTAGAAGTCAGAACTGGGTTTGTATTCCAACTGTGTGATTTGGGCAAAGTAGGGAACATCTCTGAGCCTGTTTGCCATCTATAAAGTGGGGCTGTAAAACGGATGCTTAGCTCCTAGGGTTAAGGAGGGAATTAAAGAAATCAGTGCTCGACAGCGAGTTAGTGTTCAAGTTAGTGATTATTTTAATGTTAATATTATTATCTCCCAGCGGGCCTCTCAGCGGTTCCAGAGGCCATGTCTCTAGGGGATTCCAGAACTGTAAAATGTAGTGGGCCAAGACAGCTCCGCGCGTCCCCTCCCTCAATAGATGTGTGATTCGGGAAGGTTACTTCACCATTCTGAACCTCGTTTGGCTCCTCTATAAAATGCGGACACAGTAACTGTCTTACGGAACTGTTTTGAGGATTTAGTGGGATAATCCACAGGCACACTTAGCCCGGTGCCTGGCACACGGCTGGGTCCCTATAAAGGGCAGCTACCACTATGATGCCCGGGCCCGGGAGGTTTTATCTTCTTGGGAGGTAAACCCAAGCTGCACTTAGTTTCTGGGTGAGGGCGGGAGTGAGGACGTCCCCGCCCCGGAGCCGGCGGATTCGCTTTCGGTTGGGCAGCTGAGGTCCGGGGATGGTGACTCTGCAGTTAGCAGTAGATGTCGCTGTCTTAAGTCCCCAGCTGTACCCTCCACCTGTTCCTCACCAGCAACACCTATCCGCTCCCTCCCAACGCGAGACAAACGCCCTGGGGAGCAAAATACTTGGCGACCTGACGTGGAGAGCGAAGGGGTCTTTTCTCGCGCCGACCCCGAGCCTAAGGGAGGCGGTGCCGCGCAGCCTCCGCGTCTCCCGCCTTGGGATCTCGGGCGGCGAGGCCGGGCCCCGCCCCCTCCCAAGCCCCGCCCCTCCGGCTGCCGCTCCCTCCCGCCTCCAGGTTGGCTGCGCGGGGGAGTGGGCGTGGCCGGAGGCGGTCGCTAGGACCTGCCAGAGCGCCGCGGAAGTCTCGGAGCCGAATCCAGGCCGCTGGTTGAGCCGGAGGCGCGAGTGGTCGGGTCGGTGGTTCCCCGCACCGGGGGGAGGGGAGAGGGGCGGGGTTCCCTCCGAGGAGGTTTCCGGCCAGGCGGAGGGCGGC